CTCCTTATATTCCACAACACCTTCAAGGTGTTGTGCTTTTACTCATGCTTTCATGAGTAAAGCAGATGTATATATAACCTTTAAATGATTTTAACTTAAAAACATTATTTTAAGTCTGTAAAAAAAAAAATTTAAATAGCTCAATATAGTTTCCTCAAAACCAAAAATGAGGGTAAAATACTGTTTATGCAAAGATTCAGTTTCTATGCATATTTTGCCTTTATGTTTTTACTGAGTTAGGGAAATATTATAAACCTAAAAAAGGCAAAAGAAGCAGAATACTATACATTAATCCTGAAGCATTCTTCTCATTACAAATTCTTCATTCGGGTTTGTGTCTTCTTGACCTTTATCTAATTGTCTAGACTGGGGAAAAATATTTTTCTTCTTTTTCTCCTTTTCTGAGTGTATATATATATATATATCTATATATAGATATATATTTCCAAAACAATGCACATTAGATAGTCTTCTTTTCCCTTTGTTTTTAATGAATACCTTTCAAATTTTCTACAACCATCATGAAATAAAAATTGTGAAAAAATTAACTTACTTTACTCTTCATTTTATATGGTGCCCAATAAGGACATTTTTATGCCTACTTGTTATAATTATTAGAAAGGATTCATAAAAATCATAATGCCCTACTTCAATTTCTCTAAATAAAATCTTAAGTTAATCACTTAATGTTAAAAAAACATTTTTAATTTAACTTAAAAAAATTTGTACTGTTTAGATTTTCAAAATATTAAACAGGGATTTCAGTCAACTGTTAAAATAGGAATTTCTCCTATAGTTTTTCCAGACTTCAGACACATTCAACCAACGGCTGTAGAGAACAGAGTTTAACTGCCAGTCAAAATAAAATAATGATCTATATCTACACTGTCTGACACAGTAGCCACCAGCCACGTGTAGCTATTTAAATTTGAATTAAAATTAAATTACAATAGCTTCTCAGTCACACTAGCCATATTTCAAGTACTCAATAGCCACAATGTGGAGAGTGACTATCATTTTGGACAGTGTAACTAAAGAACTATTCTGAGATTGCAGAAAGTCAACTGGACACTGATTCCTAGACTTTTCTTCAGCCCCTACTTTTCAACATCTCTCCACTGTGTCTCCTCAATCCCCATCATACTGGATTCTTGCACAGACCCTTATTCTCTACCTATACCATTTGTTTTCAACTTAGAGTAATTTTGTCCCACAAGGGACATTTGCAACATCGGAAGACATTTTTATTGTCACAGGTGGGAGAAGGGGAACTACGAACATGCAGCAGGTAGAGGCCAGCAATCTGCTAAACATTATGCAATGCAGAGGACATCCCTCTCCAACAAAGAGTTGTGTGTCAATAGTGGCAACAATGAATTTGAAACATATTCCTTAAAATTATGTGTTATATGAGGTAAGTCCCATGCCTTTTTTTTTCTCACTGTGATACGCAGACACACAAAAACACACACACTCACCCCTAATATAGGAGGCTCTAAAAGAAAGGTAATGTTAGACAAATAAATCAAGATACAGAAGAGCATAAATGACATAATTCTAGGTTTTTGATGACAAAATTTTCTGAGTATGTATATGGTTGTGTATTTGTAAACAGGAAAAAAAGAAATTTTACAGAAGGTTGTCAATAGGGATTACTTAGGAGAGTACCACTGTCAGAAGGAAGGACAGAAGAAAAGAAGATAAATATGTAAAACTTATGTTACAAAATATAAGCATTCTGAAAAGTTATATTTTAATCATTTAAATGATACAGCATATAAGAACTATCTCAAATGAAGCCAATGAAAGGAAAACTGTAAGCAAGTGAAGACTCATTACTTAATATGGTATTTTCATTCTAGAAGAGAAACAGCTAATAAGTGAGAAAAATAATGCAGTTTCATACAGTGATAAATCCTCTGAAGAATGTTAACAATTAGGAAATAGGTAAGAGGAGATATTCCTGACCTCAGGAAAGATGTCAGGGCTTGGAGAAATAAATTTGGGATTCATCTAGGTACAGATAGTGTGGAAAGTGACATGATTAGTTGTGGTGTCCTAGGGAGTGAGAATAAGGAAGAGTGAGTTGAAGCCTACACTCTGGCATCTATGGAATAGAACATGGAAAAGGAGCCCACAGAGATGAATGACACAGAAATCGCACCAGAAGAAAAAAAAAACAAAAATAGAGAGCGTTGTCCTTAAACATTAGTGTTGAAGGAGATGAGGACTAAGGGTTGACCAATGAATTAAGCAAGAAGAAGCCTGCTGGTGATGTTCACAAGAACAAGTGAAGTCGGTGGCAAGGATGAAAGCTTACTTGAGGTTAGCCAAAAAGGGGAGAGTGGAAATAATGGGACAACTCTTTCAGAGTTTCACTATAAAGTCTTTTGCAGGGGTGGTGCAGAGAAATAGGGCAATGAATGAAGAGGTGCAATGGGATATGATATGATTAAATGTTTCTGTCCCATCCAAAACTGATGTTGAAACTTAATCCCCAACATAGCAGTATTAAGAGGTATGGCCTTTAGGATGTGTCAGTCTCATCTCATGAATAGGATTAGGTGCCCTTACAAAACGGCTTGAGAGGCCAGCCACAGTGGCTCATGCCTGTAATCCCAGCACTTTGGGAGGCCGAGACAGGCAGATCACTTGAGGTCAGGAGTTCAAAACCAGACTGGTCAACATGGTGAAACCCCATCTCTACTAAAAATACAAACAAAAAATAAATTAGCTGGGCATGGTGGTGTGTGCCTGTAGTCCCCGCTACTCGGGAGGCGGAGGCAAGAGAATTGCTTGAACCCGGGAGACAGAGGTTGCAGTGAGCCAAGATCACACCACTGCACTCCAGCCTGGGCAACAGAGCAAGACCCCATCTCAAAAATAAAATAATAAAATAAAATAAAATAAAAGGGCTTGACAGAGGAGTTTACCCCTCTTTGGATCCTGCCAGCATGAGAGGATATGGTGTTCCTTCCCTTGGGAGGATTCAGCAATAATGCACTATCATGGGAGAACAAGCTCTTCCAGACACTGAACCTACTAGCACCTAGATCTTGGACTCCCAGATCTTGGACTCCAGAACTGTGAGAGATAAATTTCTGTTCTTTATAAATGATCCAGTCTCAGGTATTTGGTTATAGCAGCACAAATGGAAGAAGACAAAATCAATGGAGGCATTTTAAAGAAGATATTTACCAAATTATGTTTGTATGTAGATTCTAATAATCCAGCAGAGTGAGAAAAACCTCTAATGCAGGAGAAAGAGGAGGGATCATTGCAAGAGAAAACTTAGCAAGAAATGTAAGAAAAAAGTATCTGATATGTAAGGCAAGGAAGGGTTAGGCCTAGGTTAGAAAAGGAACAACTAGGTAGGTGATTACCCTTGAAACATTCATCAACATATCATGAGAAAGTGCTTTTCCCTAAGAGTACATAATATTTGGAGTTATTCCACTGCATTCGATTAAAATCAATATAGATTTATATCACAGCAGCTGGCCATAGCCAAAGACCCACAGCTTGCAATTTCAGTCAAGTAAACAATTAATTTCCACGATGAGAGACATCCTCTACATTCTCTATACATCCTCTACATTATCTATATTCCTTAAAATTAGGGACTAAGATGGTTAGGAGATACCTAAGTTAAATGCATAAGCAAAGTAATGGAGTGATGCACATTACTAAGAATATGTCAGTTATTCTATGATCTTGGTGCTATACAACGGCCATTAAAAAATACAAAATCTGAGGAATGCCTACTCATGTTTTAGAAGAAAAGAGAACATTGATATCTAAATCAGAAAAACTTCATTCGTATAATATTTCCAAATAAATGGCTTTTCTCCTACAATAGCTATTTTAGCACATAGCAAGTAAGATACAATCTTAAAAGCCATTGATAATCAACGCATTCCTCATTTTCTTATAACTCAAGCTAACAAGGACACCAGCATCTTTTAAGATCCATCTGAAATGAGAAAAAGAAAAGCCCCTCTGTTCTTGGACGTTTTTTTGCTTCAAACTAGGGATTTCTTATGCCTTGCCAACACAAACAGAACACAAATAGCAGCTAGAAATATAGCAATCTTTTGCAACCAGTTTGTAATAGCAACTGTCAGAGAAAGCAAAGGTTTTTTTCAGTATCTATAAATGTAAGTACAAAATTCTTCAATCAAAAAGTTCATATAAACTTGTTAAATACAGAAATAATAAACAAATTTTGAATATAATTGGCCAATTTCCCTTTTTGTCCACAATTACTGAAATAAGTCAAATTTACTTGTATGCATAATTTTATATTTACAAAGACAAAAATCTACAAAGGTAGTTTTCCAAGATCTCCAAAAATATTAGGCCTACAATGTTAGTATAACATCTACTTTCTCTACATATCTAGCTTTCTTCCTATCAAGAACAACAGGCTGATTCAGAAATCTTTAATGAACCCAGGAATAAGAGATCATGAGCTTTCTTTCCTTAACAGCTGAATAAAGTAGTTCAAAATCACAGCAAAATATTGTCTTACTCAGCACTACTGCTCTGGTAAAATTTCCTTTAATATCTAGTGATTCTTAGTTGAAACTTGTCTTTTACATAAAAGAAAAACATCCAAGTTAATCTTTTGATCATATTTAAATGCTTGATTTAGTCAGAAGGATGACAGCCCAAGAAATCAAAGCTAGAAAATATTATCACAGAAACCAAACTGTATTGATATAACACATATTTTAAGTTCAAGGAGCAAAATGTGAATTAGCTTGAATTTTATAACCAATATCTGCTTATAAATCAGTCTAACACCTTGGTTTTGAACAAAGTTTTGAATTACAAAATAGTGAAGTGGATGACATAACCTAAATACATAGAGAAAAGTTCCCATAGAAACAGGCAGATTTTTAAAAATTGACACAAGAATTAAGAGGTAATTGTTTCCATGCATTCTGACTCGTTTTTGAGGGGTTGTTTTGCTTATTTAGTCAAACTGAAAGGCTTACCATCTTGCTGGCCATGAAGATTCTGGGGACTTTGCATTCTTTCTTCAAGATTGGAGCTAAGATCAGAGTTCACAGCTGACATCCGTGTTGAATCACTCATGTCAAATTCATCACTTTCTATTGAACTTTCATCCTGAAAATAGTTTTAAAATATCATCAAGCATTTAAAAATATAATACATTTAAATAATAACCATTTTATCTACAAGGTCAATTGAAGTTTAACCAGTAAATGTTTACAGAATTCAGAAAAGTATGTTACAAACTAATGGATTTTTAAAATAACAAACAATGGAATAATTTCTCCCTTCAAGGAATTTCAAGACTTGTGAAATAATATGTCCCTATGTACTCCAATATTTTAAAGGCAAAAATATACATTTAGAGACAGTGCAGTTTAGGAATTAACCTGAATAAAGAAAGAATGATTTTATAGTAAATACCTTCTAAAAGAGTTAATCATAAAACGTAACATAAAGAGAAATACAAGTTTTGATTAAAAACTAAATGACCGAAAAATGTTGTAAGCAGAAATCTTAGAATGCAGAAAGGGCTTTATAAAAAATGTTTCATTGGCAAACAGGATAGATTCTAATATAGCAAACTTATACATTAGGTTCAAAGTCCACAATGTAATGGAGAGCAAGGTAATCTTAGTACACCCTTTCTTTCTTTGCAAGCAAATATAAATTGCACGGCAACCACAAAAAGGAGTTCTAGGTAAAATTGTGAATGAAACATGTACTAAAAGTCAGTTCATAAAATGGAATTACCAAAAGGCCACTTTCCTGAATGGCCAATTTATCAAATCTTTCCAAATGTTAAACCAAATCTAGGATATATTATTGCGGTCGTTTTACTGAAGCAAACTTCATTTGAAGAACTGATTTTTGGACAAATGGTGTACTTATAAAGGCTGGAAGGCCCAGGAAACCTGTGCAGAATGTAAATGTTTAATCAAAATCTCTAGCTTTGACTTTAATTTGTAAATGTTTGATCTGAATGTTTAACACTAATGTAATAATCAGCAGTAGTAGTGCTGCTATTTATGTTGCACACGTTACTTATATTTCATCACAACCATGAATTAGCTACAAATTTGCAAACAATTTATAGATGAAGAAATTGAGGCATAGAGAAGTTAAATCATTTTCCCTGCTATTATAGACTAGAACCAGTAGTCATATGAAGTCATCCAGACTCGAAGAAACAGCATCTTTGAATAGGAAGAATTACCTTGGTTTCATAAATGACATCTTGGCATTAGCAAAGAAGTTTCTATTATTAACGAACAAGACCATCCTGGTAGACTAATAAATTGGCATTCTGATTCTTAAGTCAGGCTCAGTGGTTTTGCCTGTGTTGTCTTTCCTTTACCAAAGACTGGGTCATGCTTGGGCACACTGAGTAGCACTAGCTCTTCATTAAGTCCGTAAGGAAATGCCACTGTGTTAGATCTCTAGACAATCAGCCACATAGACTTCTCTTAGTTACATGCCCTCTCTCAATTCATTATGTTTACTCCAATTCTAAATTCTAGTGTGTGTGTGTGAGTGTGTGTGTGTTTGCGTGTGTGTGTATGCAAACATAAGAGACTTCAATGTGGACTGACATTATCAGTAATAAAATATGGACTTGTTACTAGTGTCGATCATATACAAATACATACATATATACACACATTGATAGATGATACAGATATCCATTACATACACTATATATACTTTCTGTGATGTCATAATATTTTAAAGGATATTCTCAGAAGCCAGACTTCCTAGATTCAGGTCCATATTCTGCCAGTTATTAGATATGCTACCTTAAGCAAGTTACCTCAACTTACTGTGCCTCAGTTTCTTTATCTATACAATAGAAATAAAAATTGTGCCAATCTCACAGAGTCATATGAGGAGTGAGGGAATGTACTATATTTAAAGTATCTAGAACAATGTCAGGTACATGATAAGCACAATAAAACTGTTTAATATTACTATATGGAATATACAATAAATTCTACAGAATATAATATTACGCACACTTATGACAGTATATGAACATACACAACAAAATATAACACATTTCAATATAATGTAAAGGCAAACAAAATGTGTTACTAAAGTAGCTGTGTGTTTACATAAACACATAAACAGTCTTTATAAGTATTTGTTATAAAGGTAACAAAAAGCTAACTATAAGTAAGCTGGTAAAATATCATTTATATGGCATATAAATATGTAAAATGTATACATATATGAGGATATGTATGTGTTGTGTATTTATGTTTAAAGAAGAGCTAAATATAAAGATTCAGGTCACAGACCCTGTTCTATGAAATGATTGTAAAAACAGCCACAGCATATTATGGAAAATCAATATATTTTTTTACTACCACTAAAATGTATGCTGACACTCTTGCTGGCATACATTTTAATAAATTCAGATGAGAGATTAAAATGTTTATGTAACCAAATGTATACTTATGTATTTTTGTAATTAAAAAAACACCATGTTAAATTATTTATCATCATAAGTGGCTTAATGATTGAAAATATTTTAAATATTTTCTTCCACTATTACATATGAAATATAATTCATTTTCACAATTACATTCCTTATTAGAATTCAATTGTTACACATTTGCAAAAAGCTTTAATGAGAATAAGTGCATGTATTCATTCTGTATATTCTAATTAATAATTGATTAAATTATTGTTTTTAATAAAAGCTAGCAGAGGTATATGAAATATAAGCTTGTGCTTTTTTACCAACATAGAGATAATACTAATTACACTAGGAAGAAACTACTGAAAGCTTCTAAGATTAAGGAATCAGAAAACTTGACTGATCTGATATTAAGTATCTTATTCATGATTATCTTTAGACCATTCATCTAATTCCTTTTCTCTATGAAATTCTATTTTGTTTGACAACCAGAAAAAAACTCTCCACATCATACTGTGTGAGCTTATTTCTTACATGACTAAAATCTCATGATAATGAAAATCATGACCAGAGACCATAATAATTCTGCCTCCTTGAAACTTAATGTTTTAATATTAGAACAATTTAACTGTAACAAATATTTTTCTTCTCAGTCTTTTCCCTTTTAAACATGGCACTTATTTACTTTTCAAAAGCTTTGTTATTGAGTTTTTATTTCTATCTTCAGAAGTTGCTTGAAATGGAGACTGCTAATCTGCTCCATATTTCATTTTAGTTTCCAAGTTCCAGATATTACCTATAAAGGGTCTCTACCATGTACCTTCTGATTTCCCCTGCTATTGTCCTGCCTGATTAGTTAAAAATTGTATTTTTCCATTTCCTAAACTATGTAATAATAGTCTCTCAGTTAACTTATCCACATCCAATTTCTCTACACCAGTCCTGCCTATTAACTATTGCCAAATTAAGCTTCCCATTTCTGAACATGTCACTTCTCTGCTGATAAATCTGTAGCCCTATCCATTGTTTGTCAAATAATGTGTATGCTATTCAATTAAACATTTACAGTTTCCCCTAAGACTGCTTAGAAACCACTCCCACCAATCTTCTCTTTCTGTTGATTTTTCAAAACTTATCGTCTGCTCAAATCAAATTAAAGCTTACATTATCAGCATCTCTATGAAATTCATCATCTCAAACCTCAGTGTGCATGAGTATAGATTCTGTTAAAAATTCATATCCCCAGGTCCCACATATCAGACCTAGAATTAGCATCTTTGGGGTGGTGTCCTGCTACATGTAGTTCAATGAGCTATTTAATGCTGGCTATCAGCCCAGTCCAGTGCTGTTCAAGAAAACATTGTGCAATGATGGAATTGCTCTATAATATTCTCTCTTCAATAAGGTAAATACTAGTTGTATGTGCTATTGAACATTTGAAATGTGGTGAGTGTGACTTAAGACCTGAATTTTTAGTTTTAGTTAATTTTAATTGATGTTCAGTTAAACTTAAACATTCACATGCGACTAATGACTACCATCTTGGGCAGTGTGTATCTGACAATCCTTTGTTGTGAGATCTTGAAAATATATTCAGTCATTCACTACTAGCAAACAGTAAACATTTTAATAGATAAATTGTTTCATATATCACATTCCATAGGATGAATTTCTAGTCAAGTAATATAAATATACTTGAAAAGTGTAATAATTATCATCAAATGATCCCCCAGAAAGTTGGTTCCAGTTTAAACCCTCACCAATCGTTCATAAGAAGGTCAAATGATCTCATATTAGATACAGTATTTTGTAAAATCTTTACAAAATGTGGTAAGCCTCTAATAACAAGTTAATTCACTAAAATTGTATTTTGGTTAATATAAGAGGTTGAGGTTTTTTTAATGGTTATTGACCACGCAATGGATAGTTTCCAAAGATGGCTACTATGGATCCCTTCCCCTCCCCACTGCCCCTTACATGCGTGCCACTCCTCAGATCAAGGAACAGAATTTCTCGCTCCTCCCCCTGAAACTAGGCTGATTTTGTTATTTGCTTTGGTCAGTGGAAATGTGGCAGAAGTGATGTTGTGTCAGTCCCAGAACAACAGGGAGCTCCCATTTCCTGTCTCTTGGAAACCAGCTGCCATACAATAAAGCTGTCAGATAAGAAGTCTGACTACCCTGAGACCAGCACACTGTGAGGAAGCATAAGCCAGCCACAGGGAGAGTGAGAGGTCACGTAAAGGAGCATAAAGGTGCATCAAGGAGCCAGGTACTTAAGTGAGGTTTTCTTGGACTATCCAGCCAGGTCCAGCAACCAGTCGAATGTCACTGAGTAAATGATCCTAGCTTCTGCCAGGAGTAACAAAATAAATCACCCAGAGGTTCTTGGCTAACTGCTTAACCCATAGAATAATGGGTATTAATAAATCATTGTTGTATTAAGTCACTAAGTTTTAGGGGTGGTACCTAGCAAAAGAAAACTGAAAACCATCTAATTTTTCCCCTTTGAGCTACAACATAGCATTCTATTTACATTGATTTGTTGCTTAAAAAAGCAAATAGTTAATACTAACTTTAAGTGGATGTGTTGCAGAGTAGGAAGACTTTGGGCTCCAAAGTTATTTAAACCTAGGTTCAAATACCTAATCTTCTCTCTACCAGTTTAATCATTAGGGTAAGTTTTATCAGCTAAA